GGCGGGGACGGCGAGGCGGCCCCACTGCGGGCGCCGCTGTTTTTTGGGGAGCGGGAGCTGTCGCTCGGCGGCTTCGGGGCGGCGGTTGGCGGCCTGTCGTCGCAGCTGGCTGGCGGCGCTAGCGGCTTCACCCTTGGCCCTCTACCGCAGCGGCTGCAGTCCGGGGTGGCGGCGGCCCTCAACGGGCTGGACACGAGCAGCCCTCCGGCGTACGCGTCGGCGGGCCAGGAGCAGCAGCAGCAGCAGCAACAGCAGCAGCAGCAGCAGCCCTCAGGGCTGTCGCTGCCGCCGCCGTCCCCGTCGCCCCAGCAGCATGGCCCTCAGCAGGCGCAGCGCGCGCCGGGGCCGACGCAAGCAGTTGCGGGGACAAGCGCAGGCGCGCCCCCGCTGTCCCCTGAGCACCTGCCAACAAGGGATTGCGTCGTATCCAGCCCCCTGGTCGCCGCGCGCCGCCCCAAGAGCCTGGACGGGGCGCCCCTCAGCGCCCTCGCAGTCGGCGCGGTCGGTCCCGGCCCGCTTGCCGCCGCCGCCGCGCCCCGCTCCGCAGACGGCGCTGCGCTGGCGCCGGCCCCTGCTTGCCCCGCGGCCACAGCGGCGGCGGCGCCCTCGTCCACGGCCGCCGCGCCCGCGACGCCCCTGGCGGTGCGCGAGCAGCTGCCCAGGGCTGCTGCGGCGCCCGCGCGTTCGGAGGAGTCCGCATCGCCGCAGTCCGCCCTGGGCGTGGCCGGGCCGCCTGGCGGACTGCCGGTGGCGCCTGCGTCCGTAGCAGAGCCGGCCTTGCAGGCCGCGCTTCCAGCCACTGCGGCGGCCTTGGCGGTCAGCCCAGGGCCGGCGTCTGGAGGGGTGGTGGCGGGCAGGAAGCAGCAGGGTGAGGCGCCAAAGCAGCAGGCGGCGGTTGCGGCGCAGCAGTCGCAGCCGAAGAAGCAGCAGGGCGACAAGCAGCAACAGCAGCAGCAGCAGCAGCAGGCGAAGCAGCAGGCGAAGCAGCAGGCAGCCTCCAAGAAGGAGCAGCAGGCGGCGCAGAGGGCTGCGCAGCAGCAGGGCAAGGGCGGGCAGGCGCCGCCCCCTCAATCTCCCAAGCCGCTAGTACGCACAGCGGTCGTGGCCCGCAGCCCCCGGCCAACCAAAGGCGCTGCCGCGGCCGCGCCGGCAACGCCGGCGCCCACAGCGGGCCCC